TGCTTATACATACATTTAAATAGCTATACGACTTGAAACGTTGATGTTTTGCCATAAGAAATAAAATGGCATCCGGAAAAAATGAAAAACATTTTCACTTCCTGTAGCGAATAATAAATGCTTTTAGTCGTAAAATCCTTCTTGCAAACTTGTTACAACGACAAACTTTATAATAAACTCTTGCGAACTTTGGTGATAAATTACCATAACACGAATTAACACTGCGGGTATCATTTCGATTAAAACATTGAAACAATTTGTTTTTTGATACTTAACATTAGTCATGTATATCTGTCCAGTTGAATTTGTACAAAACAAACTCCAGTCAACCTCAATCGAACATAGATTACAGGTTAAGTGGTATATTATTCCTTAATTTGGGTCATTTCGGGAGAGCTCTATGGACGGCGTTAGCATGCATATTGAATGGCTATTATTTATTTGTGAATTCAACAGTGTAGTATTTAAGTGATTTACATCAGTGATATTCCACGCAATTTTTTTTTTTTATATACCAGACTATAATATATAATAACTTTGAAAACTTTGAAAACATATAATATATACGTATTTATACAGAATATATTATAGTACTTAGATACTATATTAATCCTAATATAATAATAATAGGTACATAAAGATTTGTTGTGTAATTCATACTAGAATTCAAAATTATAGAATATTATGTATTAAGGTACATAGTATAGTATTATAGCGTATTATAGTACTAAGCTACCTACTACGAGGAGCGACGATTGTCTTGATTTTATAATGGHGAGTATTTTTAGTTTTTTTTTTCTTTACATAATTTAAATTTAAAATGTTGTCAAATGTTATGTGTGGAGTGTCTTATTGTATGGCTGTGAAACATGGACCATCAATGGGCAAAGCAAAAAGAAGTTGGAAACAATGGAAATGTGGATATGGAGAAGACTGTTAAAAATCAGTTGGACAGAAAGGAAAAGTAACGTAGATGTATTAAACCAAGTAGTAGAAAAAAGAATTCTATTAAACACCATAAAAGAAATAAGAAGCGGTAAAATGCTCGGTCACCTACTTAGGCATAAATTGTTTATGACAAACATATTTGAATGACAAATAAATGGTTATAAAAGAAGAGGTAGACCGAGGAAGGCATATATAGAAGAAATTATAAAAAAAGCTGACTGTAACCGATATATAGACATGAAAAGACTGGCTTCAAACAGAGAAGAATGGCGAACCAGATTTGCAAYGACAAGACAAGAACTTTAGTAAAGAAGAAGAGAAGATAATTTAAATTCCTATAAAAGTATATACATTGTATGTTTTAAATGAATTAAAACTGTATTAAAATATTATTGGATATTTATTGAGAATTGAAAATGACATTCCTAGTCAAACATACATTAAGATTTGTGGTTACATAAAAAAGCGAAAATAAAAACAATTTGTCCTATTTCATGGATTAAATTGTATAGTTAGATAGTCCCTACATTAGATCACTAATCCATTTCCAAGTACCTAATGATGATTACATTTTGGGAGATAAATTATTACATAATATAAATTATTTATAATGAGTATAATTATTAATATAACTGTAAGGTAAGTTGAATARTACTAAACAGTTGATGAATTAACAACAACAGAATAAAAAACTTATAATAAAAAAGTTCTTATACTACTATATAATAAGTAGATAGTAGGTAATAATCAAAATTATATGATAAATTAAAGAGAGTCTTAATTTCACGTTCTCCAGATGTATATTATAGTTAACATCATCCTTAGAATTCTATAAATTTAGTTGAAACATTAATGAAATAATACAATCAAAACCCGAATCATGATTAGCTTTTTAATAAAATATTGGCTAAATATTAAGATCCAATTTGTCAATAATTCTTGTGATAAATAGGAACATATGTAGGTATAATAATTTGTTTTTATTTTTATTTTTATTACTAATATAATCAGACAATACATGTATATAATAACAAGCCATAAAATAAATAAGGTATTTAAAATATATATAGTTAATATGAAGATACGTGTGGATGTGAAATATTTCGTAATATTCTCAATTTGGTACAACCTACAAAATACAAAATCTCTTATACATATTAAGTGTTAAACAAAAAAAATATATACATATATAATATGTAATTCCGAATTAGATCATTTGTATTTTGATACAAAGGTAATAATAAATTAATTTATCAATAATAAATTGTTTATATAATTTAAAATTTAGAAATAATATATGATTTTTCTATCCATGATACTAATATTTATTGAGGTAAATTATTATAATGCTAACAGTTATATTGTTTATTGTTTTTTTTTTTTTAAATAAAATCTACGTTAATACAAAAAAAAACCAAGTTATTTCTTCGTAAACGTACCATGTTAAACACATTGTTGARAATCTATATTGTAATATACCGATGATTCACTACACTACTACTTTCAATTTTGTATTAAATTGTTTATTAACATAGAATTATTTGTTATGCACGTGAGTTCGATAAGTATATCATAATTTAATATATTTTTTACAGATGCAGATGCGAAACCGATAGTTTCATCTGAAATAAGCAAGGAAGAAATAAGTCCATACTGGTCTTTCAATGAAACTGCAGATATATCGAAGTATGAAGATTTCGATCACAAAAAATTCTTAGGTAATTATAAATATGTTACTAYWTCACAGAAAAACAATGTGTTGTACACTTATTTATTAATTGTTGTTTACRATTGACAAGTAAAACTGATGTATAAGTTAATGAAGGGCAGTGGTTTAATGCAATATAAAAATATATATTGCAAAATATGTTGGTACATAAATTAATGACATACTAAAAATTAAAGCTGGTTTAATTATCCTTCGGGCTATGGAACTTATCTATCTGAATAAAACCTATTAAACATAGTGCRGTGTATATGTAGGTCTTTGCATTTACATGTTCTACAGGTTTGTTTATACATGCTCAAATGTCAGTAGACATAGGTAKACTATTAATAAATATATTACTATCAAAAATGTATATTTATATAACATAACTGTTACGGCACAAACAAACATTAAATTCAAAAAGGTTTTTTTCAAGACCACCAAACGAAATTATAGGGTAAAGAAGACAAAGTGACAAATGAAAATCACACATTGTAAACGGAAATGTCAGAAAAACGGTGTGATTTTCATTTGCCTAAACAAAATCCCGCGGACCAACCAGTACCAGACTAGATTATAGAAGAGGAAATAAATACCGGACACTCTCGACAATCCAGTCCATTCATCATCARCAGTTCATCATTTCATTCAACGTCCAGCRTCCGTGGCAGCTACACTGCAGTTTCTACAGTCTTCGCAGCTCCCGTCGCAACCATCGACAGGCAACAGCGCCAATCAAAACAGTCGTTTTTACGACTTTCMAACAGGGCACCAGCGCCCACTCCACAGTTYGGAATCAGTATTCAGCCGTTTTAACGTCTAAAAAGCCAACGCCAGCGCCCACGATCGTCGGAGCACCTGCGCCTGAAGCCTCAGGTAATCCGTCGCGAAAGCGCCGGCAACCTCCATCCGATCAACTGTCGTGGGGCCGCGCCCTAACATTGCCGCAAAACTCCCTACCCAACCAACTCTATCTCCCCTCTCCCCCCACAATAAAACATTCTTTTCAGAACGACAGGACTTTTCACTACCTCTTTTAAGCATGGCCGGCAACAAGCCGCAAAAGCTATCACCCAACTCAGGCTCAAAAGGTCGCCCGTCAACTTTCCTCTCCACCGTCTCCATCACCACTAAAAACCTCTGACTCAGAAACTCTAGACTCCCTTTCGGAATCAAGCTACTCTTCTTCCATACGTTCTGCTCTCCCTCCAACCCTTACACCAACCACAACCTCAACCGCTTCCATCCCGCCAATCACTAAACCTCCGACTGCACCATCTAAAATCCTACCTCCTCCTATTATCCTGAGCTCTAGCTCTTGGCGCAAGATTGCGCCCACTATCTACAAGSTCCCTAACCTRACYYCCTCTTTACTGACCGCCAAATCCTCTTCTAATGGCCAAATTACCGTACAAACTTCCGAACCTATCCAATTCAGGTCGATGAAGTCACCAGTGAACTCAATTCGATAAACTTCTCGGTTAAATTCGTACGCCKTTTTGGTACCTCTGATAAGCCCATGCCAATCTGCGCGGTACACCTAGCTTCTGACCCTAAGGCCAAAGACATCTACCAACTCACCAATTTGTTCTTCGTAACCATCTCTGTAGAACCCCTCAAACCCTCTGGCCCCCCCAGTGCTCTGCATGCCAACGCTTTGGTCACGTTTCCCGCAACGGTGGACATCAGCCGAAGTGCGTAAAATGCGCTGGGAGCCACATGGCAAGTGCTCTAACTGCGGTGGTTCGCACACGGCAAACTTCCGGGGTTGTCCACATTTTCTGGCCCAAAAACAGGTGGAATCCAAACCCACTTCTCAAAACACTCCGCAACCTTCAACCCAAATCCATGCTCCACCAACACCCCAACCTCCTACACTCTCTACTCCAACTCCCTCAAAACAATCAGTTCAGACCCCGACATACGCTGCAGTAGCCATAGGCTCAATACCCTCTTCCTCAACTCCTCAACTTAACATACAATCGATTCTCTCCCTACTCACAAACCTTCTGACTGCTCTTTCAAATAACCAGAATCTAAAAACCTCTATTGTCAAAAATTCGGTTCTTCTCAAATMTACTAACTTTAAATCCATTCAATCATCTATTCAGTCCCAGTCCAAACTTATGTTCTACAAAAATTCCTTTTCAGACCATGATCATATCCGCCTTCTAGGTAAATCTCACTCCCCAACTACCAAAAAACAACTTAAACCTTACCCGTTAACTTGGTCTAACCATTATAACTTCCTTTACACTCTCCCCCCACTAGTAGAGGCGAAAGCCTGGTATAGTTAAACGGCATAGCCATTCCCCCAAAGCAAAGCAAAATCTAGTCAGTCCACATCAAGCCTTCAAACTGTCAACAGCCAACATCTATAACAAGAGTTTTAGACAGCCGAAGGAAGCGGACCAATCAACAGATCTGCAGCCAAACGACGACAACGCCGCTCCACGGTTGCAAGCATCGYCTTACCCCCGAACATCCGTGAGRCCACCGCTCAACGGTAATAAGACCCGCGACGACCTACAACACAACGACGAAGGATCAACGATATCCGGCGTCGCATCAAGCAAACGGCCCTTTTCAGGGCCACCACCTCACTTCATAAGGCACTTAAATAAGTTGTCCTTTCCGAGCCAGGTTCACCGCCGGGAACTGCTTCACTGAGTTTGTACCGACGACGGCCGGTTCTCCTTCCCCATTACTTGTAATATGAAAAACCAAATTACCCCACAATCGTGTACAGATAGAGTCCGGTGATTGCCCGACTAACCCACAAGCGCCCCCGATTGTGTAAGTTTGGTCAACACAAATCGACGCTTTACTCAAATCCCAATATTTTATATATTTATATTATATTATAGAAATAGAGATACTTGATAACCTAAAAAAAACAGTGATCTTATTATTTATTCACAATACGGACMGTCAGGAATCTAGGACCGTATCAGAACATATTTTAAAATTAGGTTGACTTCACTAATTTTTCACATATAAGTTGAAATTCCTTTGATCAATGATTTATTAAAAATTAGAAATAAATAGTACCTAACAATAATAATACATAAATCTTAAATTATAAAGAACTTAACCTGATAGGCTATCTAAACAATTTGAATATCAAACAATTAAGAAAAACCACACAATATTTTATCAATATATCCGATAAAAACTACYTTGTACAGATAGAACTTCTGGAGCCTATTTCAAACAATAGACCAATCAGGACATACAAACAAATCAAAGTAGAAGAGGTTACATGATAGTCAACATTCGAATCGTCAAGACTATCTATTTTTGAATATATCAAACTTGTTAAATAAATGTATAACATTGACAATGAAGATGATAACTGAAATTCAGTGACAATTTAATTTTAGTTAGCYGATGACGTCCGAACATTTTTCCTAAAAATAGCTCTTCTAATAGTTTAGGACCCTTGACCTATATTGCTCGTAGATGGTATAAAGTATAATTTTATCGAAGGAAATCATCGACGTTGAAYCATATTCTATAAAACAGCAGTTGTATATTCATTGTTTATAATAACAATGACATGCTTTGTACACATCATTGAGATAATGACTCGTAAGAACTAGTTTAAATATTAAGTGTATTACTGTTAAATAAAGGATTAACAACCATCARTCATTTGATTTTTTTTTCCTGCAGAAGATAGAAAATTATTATAACACCGACTTGTATTAGGTAACTGTTTGTTAATTTAAATTTTTTATCGATCAATTCATGATTATACAGTGTTATCAACATGTTATGAACTTGTATAAACAAAATATATAATGAAAATACATTATAATCATTGCATTAAAAAAACTACAACCTAGAAAACTACAAACAATTGTTTAAAATGAGAACGTATTCTAAAATATAATATTCAATTGTATATTCAATTGTATATAATACTGTATATTATTTGTATTATTAATTTTTTCCATCTTATAACTTATTTACCTATGTTTCAGACGTTTCAGATAAAGACAATATTTAAATTTTCCCTTCGTTTTCAATTTGATCATAGTTCCTGTAATATTTACATTAACATTTATTTAAGATTCTGAGCATGCTATAATATATAGATATATATGAATCATATATATAATATGATGTATATGATTACAAAGACACAGAAAAACGTGATTTAGGTATTTTAGTATAATCATTTATTATATAAATATTACAAATTCTAATAAATGTGAAACGTGATTCTGTCATAACAAAATAAATATTATTTAAATACATATTTTTTACTTAACAAAAAAAAAAAACAATTTGGGGCCAAAAAAATTCAGAAAATTCACTTACCTCTATAATTTAGAATAAATTTAAATACTATGAATACTCATCTTATGTTTTGAACCATAAGTTATTTGATAGAGCTTCAAATCAATAATTGACTATTAAAAAATACACACGTTTATAAAATTAATGTTAAAATTTTATTAGATTAATTAATGATTTCCTTTCAAACTAGTTTTATGTAATGGCCTTGTGCGATATTTTCACATTTCTGTGCTATCTGTGCCAATCTAAAATAATATTTATGAATTTTTTTCAATTTGTTTAATATTACTCATTAGTCATTGATCATTAATAACGAGTTATAAGGTATTCAATTGAAKTTAAAGGTAAAAAGCAAGTTTTGATAATTTGAGATAAAACAATTGAGATACTATAAAATTCAAATAWTAATAATCAATATAAATATACAAATATACAAAAATATATAAAATGTATTATAATATTATGAAACGTAATTTATAATATATTATGTGGGTATAATGTTAAATGTTTTTTTTAATGGTTAGATATTTATTTTTGCAATCATTACAAACAAATTTTGGTAGATATTATTTTGGAGATTGGTCCTTAGCTGTATTAATGTATTTTTGTCTTCCTGTTATAGTGGTACACCTCTGTTGAAACATAATTTATAGACGATAAATGATTGGTCATCTATAAAAATTAATTAAATCTATAATAATTTTT